CGAGTCAGGAGAGGTCTGCTGTGCCATGTGGGTAGCTCCCTGGCCGGGACCAAACTCATGCTGCAGTGGCTGCAGATAGCTTCACTGGTCACGTCTTAACCCCTTGCACCACCAGGGAGGCCCCCACCTCTACATCTTCTATAGTGACCTCTTGGTAAGTCATCATTCATTTCCTTTATTGGATTTTGCAATCAAATCATAATAACTGTCACAATAATACTAGGTAATAGTCACACAGCATTTATAAACCATGTATCAAACACATTTTAAGAATTTTAAATCTGGGCCTCCCCTGGTGGCGCAGCGGTTGAGCGCTGGGCTGCTAAGCTGCCCGCAGCTTCTGCAGCGCTGGTTCGATCCCCGGCCGCTGGTGAGGGTCCCACATGGCGCGCAGACCTCTCCTGCCACCCGCTGCTCCCCTCAGCAGTGTATTTCGTCGGTCTGCCTGTTCTGTTCCCCTCTCTGGCTCTGGTGAATTCTCTCACCCTTCCAAGCTTCTGACTGTACCCAGTGCTTGTATAAATAAATAAATAAATAAATCTTTAAAAAAAAAAAGAAGTTTAAATCTGTTTACTCATTTAATCCACACCACACCGCTATGAAATAGTTACAATTATTATTGTCATTCTACAGATGCAGAAACTGAGACCCAGAGAGTTTAAGACTGATTATACCCCAGCATAAGAGGAGTGAGTAGAGCAAGGATTTGAACCCATGGCTCTCTTTTCTTAATCACTAGGCACAAGGACATCATTCAGATTTCTCATCACACCCTAAAGTTGGGCAATGAGTTTGCACATACGGAGGCACCTTGTTGGAGTTCAGTGCACCCTCCTCCACTTCTTAGTGCCCTTTTCCTTTTATATAAAGTATTATCTTTGCATAAAGTTATTCCAGATCAATGTCCAAGTCTACCAAGTGGTGGTAACTACATATTGATTTTATTTCTTTGTGTTACATATCTCTAGGTAATTTTGATTCATGTTTTACGCACTAGTGCTCAGGCTAAAAGTACATTTTACCCACTCTGTTTTTAAAAGTATGAATCTGAGCATCTTCCCCATTTCAATTTTTCTGTATCAGGAGCTTCCAAACTACAGACCCTAAGCTGGTCTGGCTCTCGGCCTGTATTTGTAGGCCTCCCTATCAAGATGGAGGGGTAAGGGCTAAAGATGGTATATGACCTACACAGCCTGTAATACTCTTTGGCCCCTTATAGAAACAAAGTTACTGATCTCATAGTTTATGTAAGTTCTCAAGGTTACGAGAGAAATACATTTCATATTTTCTCTAGGAATTTCGCTGTGTCCATTGCCACAGTCAGATGTCCTCTTCATCTGATTAGCTCCGACTTCAGAAAGAAAGAAATCAGAAAGAGATCACAAGTAGAGCGGCAGGAACCCCATACAGAAGTCAGAGGCAGCCCCAAACACAGCATGAATTTTTCAAAACTAAGCCAGAGTGCTCTTGTGGCTCTTGACAAAGTGGGGAGAAGGTCAGATCAACTCACATTTTGAGGACGGGAGGTACGGGGCAGTCAACAGTAGTGATTCCTAGGATCAGCTCTATGTCCAACCTGAACTGATAGTTTAGTCTTTTTTTCAAATTATGTTAACTGAGGTAAATTGGGCTTAATTGCTCTATCTGCTTGGGGGGTTATCAGTTTAAGCCTATGGAAATGATATTTTCACACCCTGCTCACCACCAGTGCCCCAATAATCGTCCACCATGTTCCATTGAAACTCATGGTTCAAAAATGATTGGGAAGTGGGGCCTCCCTGGTGGTGCAGCAGATTGAGTGCCAAGTTGTGAAGCTGTCTGCAGCCTCTGCAGCGTGGGTTCAATTCCTGGCCTGCCAGGGAGATACCCACATGGCACGGCAGACCTCTCCTGCCTCTCAGCAGTGTCTTTGGTCTGTCTGCCTGTTCTGCTCCCCACTCTCTCTCTGGTGAATTCTCTCACCCTCCCGCCTCTTCTGGTGAATTCTCTCACCCTCCCACGCCTCTGACTGTACCCCAGTTCTTGTATAAACAAATAAATCTAAAAAAAAAAGCACACAATTGTGCTATTAAAAAAAAAAATGATCGGGAAGAAAGAACACAGGTTTCCAAGCATACAAAAACAAGACCCCGAAAAGAAAATGTAGAGGGAGGGGGGTCCATCAAGGAGGCTCTCTTAGGCCTTCCGATAGTCACATGGGGGACGGGCGGGGGCTGCCTCTCTCAGGAAGCAAATGTTAAACAGTGTATGTAGGGGAAAATATAGCAACTTCAGAGCAAAGGTGTTAAAGCAGACTTTACAGGCACAGCAAAGCTTGGAATAAGGAGGAGGCTGCATCCCAGATACAACACCCAAACAGGCAAACATTTAGCACAGAAATAATCAGTTTCATTCTCTTTTTCCCCCATCCCTGACACTCTACCTGTTACATGTTACGATCAAAAAAATATTGACATTAATCAGGCTTAAGCGAAATGATTAAAAACTCTGGTTGTTTTTATTTTTATAATTGCTATGGGCTTTACACGTGTGTCCTTCCAAAATTCACATGTTGAAATCCTAACCCCGAGGATAAAGATATCAGGAGGTGAGACCTTTGGAGTCTTCGACCCTCATAAATGGGATCAGTGCTCTCTATAAAAGGCCCAGGAAACTTCTGACCCCTTCTGCCCTGTAAGGCCCTGTGAAAACATGGCCAGTCAGCAATGACCCTGGAAATGGGCCCTCAGCAGGCAAGGAATACACTAGTGCTTAGCTCCTTGACTTTCCAGGCTCTAGGACTGTGAGACATAAATATTTGTTGTTTATAAGCCACCCAGTGTTTGGCTTTTTTTGTTGTAGTTGCCTGAACAGATTTAGCTGATAATCAATCATCAATTATCAGGGTACTGGGGATGCTAAGTGCACGTACTTTTTGGACATTGAAGGCAAATGCTGGGGGCTGGCAGTTATTCTAAAATATGAAAACAAAAACTCTGAAGTGCAAAAATTACTGCTGAGAAACTTCTCAATGCCCCCTCTGGTATTGTGTATGCAAACTTGTAAAGTAATTCTTTTGCAAGTTCAAGTCCTTAGAACAACAGAACTCCTGAAAGAAAGGTCAAAACTCTACAAGCAGATGTGGGACAATAGAGCCATTCTTTCTTTAGAACAACTATCAAATCTCTAGCTGTTCTTGGAAGACAGGTAAAGCCTGAAATGTTCCTACTTGCCTACTGGGTTTCCAGTCATTCCATTAATATGATCCTACTACAAATTAAAAGATTTGTTTTCTTCTCATGAGTACAGGCATATCTTGGAGATATTGTGGGTTTTGGTGCCAGACTACCAAAATAAAGTGAATACCACAACAAAGCAAGTGACACAGATCTTTCAGTTTTCCAGTACACATAAAATGTTATGTTTACACTGTACTGTAGTCTATTAAGTGCATAGGAGTATGTCTTAAAAACAGTGTTTATGCCTCAATTAAACATGACATAGAGACACAATACGAACACAGGCTGTTGGAAAAATGGCACCCAGAGACTTGCTCAGCACATGGTTGCCACAAAAACTCAATTTGTTAAAAATGTAGTATCTGGGGCCTCCCTGCTGGCGCAGGCATTTGAGCGCTGCACTGTGAAGCTATCCGCAGCCTCTGCAGCGCGGGTTCAATCCCAGCTGGACAGCTAGAATCCCACATGGTGAGGCAGACCTCTCCTGTCGCCCGCTGCCCACCTCAGCAGTTTACTTCGTCAGTCCGCCTGTTCTGTTCCCCACTTTGTCTCTGGTGACTCCTCTCACCCTCCCGCACATCTGTCCTGTACCCCGGTTCTTGTATAAAAATAAATCCTTAAAAAATAAAAAGTAAAAAATAAATAAAAATGTAGTATTTGCAAAGTGCTATAACATGGGGTGCAATTAAGCGAGGTATGCCTGTATTACAGGCATGGAGTGGATCTCTTACTCTGGCACCCCTGGGTTCTAAGTCACTGACTATCTACCACATTCTTCTTGCTGGGTCTTTAGCTCAACTGTATGGCAAGGGAACCTGTGATTAGTAGGAACCATGTCTAGGAGGGCAATCACAATGGATCTTAATTTGCAAAGGACACGAATTTGAAAATGACAGTGTTTGAGCCTGTTTCATTATCACCAAGAGCCTGGAAATTGCATGCAATGCAGAGATAATTACAAAAAAATCGGATGGACACCCTTTCTTTGGCTTTTGGATCGCTGTTCCGGTTACCTGGACAGCATCACTCTTGTTAACTGGTATCTGTTATGCAAGCAAGAGTAATCAGACCCTATTAGCAGAAGTTGAGAGAAGGCTCAGGCAAAGGTCTGGGACTGTGCATCTGTGCAGGAAGTTGAAAATCTAATGGAGTTTGATTTGCAGCAAAGGTACCAGTAGTAATTCCCTGTTCCTGATAAAGTCAGACCCTCTATTCAATCTATAAATAAAACATTCACTTAACAGTAAATAGGCTAGCCACTGAGGTGCATTTGGAGGGGTGGGGCTTTTGTGGGTGTCATTATTACAATGTTGGCAGGGTGTGCTGAAATAGCCTGAAGATGTCCAAAGCAAATCACCCAAGAGTCTCAGAGCTAGTCTCCTCAAGGCCTCCTAATCTGCTACGCAAGTATTTGAGCCCAAAGCATGAAATTTCTTGAGGCTGAGGAGAAGCTTCTGTCCTTCACTCTTCCTTAGCTGAATAAGAGATCCTTATATCCTAAATTGCTGCCCTCTTTCTAACTGGAGAAGGCCCCACTTCTTGTGACTTAGAAGAACATAGTTCGGGAGACCTCATCCAATTCTAGGTTTAACATATTCTCTCCATCTGAGAATCTCATCTGTACTCTCAGAATAAGGATGAGGTCACCCCTTCTTGTTCTGTCAAGTAAAGTTCCTTTCCCTCCCAACCCCCACCCTCCCCTGATGCCTCAGGTCTTATAATGCAGGATAAATATTTCTGGTCTGTTCCATTAGTCTTTAAAATTTATAACCCTGTAAATTCTCCAGGTATGTTATTAAATTTTGGCCTTTTCACCTACTAATCCATTTGATGTTCATTTGTTCATCCATCTAGACTCAGAAGAACCCAGATGGGGTGGGGGAAATTTCCCTTGTACCCCACAAACATAAATCTGTTCCTAAGCTTGTATGTGTTGTCCGGCAGCACAGGGCACACTTGTGCTACCCCACGTACAAGAAAATGGAATGCCAGGTGTTGTTTTTTTGTTTTGTTTTGGTCAGGGAATCCGTCCTACAAGAAACTAATGTGCTGAGGAAAATCATGTCTTTACCTCCACTTATTTCCAGTTTCATTAATAAGAGGAGTGGATTAAATCAGTCCTTGAGAGAAGTTACATCTACATCTATTACACTGAAAATTCACTAATATCTCCCTCTTCCTTCTAAAATCTGACAGATCCATTTAAGGGAAGATCAATGCTGAAAACTGCAACCTCTGCAAAAGTAAAATGTACAGATTCCTTGAGCCCCAGATGAGGATGATTACAAACTGTCATTTGTCTTGACCCCTCAATCAGCCCTGGAGGCTGACTCCTCTGGGGGAGATGGATCTGAAATGTGACTCCCTCAGAATACAAAACTAAACTATTCAGTTATTCTTAAAGTAACTGATGTAGCATAAACTCGATATTCTACCAGTTAATGTAACATTGTTATAATCGCAGAGGACTCAAGAGGCATAATGTTTTCCTTCTATTTTAATATTTTATTATCAATCTTTAGTGTCAATAGTGTTTTTCCCGGATGAAAGAAATATTGAATAGATGCCATACGTGGATCAATTTGGGGCACATTCCAGCTTCCTGAGGCCAAAACAAGATCAAGCAGTAAATACAAATCACATATGTATCTGCTGTCCCCTCTCTGTCACTGTATTAAGCATTGGGTTATTGTTGCCATGTTTAAAAAAAGGACACAGAATTAAAATACAATTTTTCATTAATTGAGCAGATTTTTAGGATCCAGATATCACAAGCCCTCCAATTTTCTGGTGATATCTTTATTATCCAAATGAAATGGCCAATTGTTTTCCATTTCAACTCCTTGTCCCCAAGCCACTCTGTCCTTCTTGTGCCTGGGAGACTGTGGAGTCCATTGTCTGGTCAGGTCGCTGGGAGCACAGACAACAAAGATGGGAAGAGAGAGGTTGGGGTCATAGTTTTAACAGCTTGTCCACTTAGATGTCTGCTGTGATCTGAGCTGCAGGCAGCCCTGGAGGCCAGTTCTCTCAGGTCCTGGTGACAAACACAACTGACTCTCTTCTCTGTCTCCCCATGCGGAGGGGTGCTGATGGCTCCCCACTGGTGTTAGTCCCTGGATCCTCCTCATCTTTATTGGGTCCCTTAACCCTGTCCATGACTCTATTCCAGCATTCCACCTGCTTCCTCAGGACTCCACCTGATACGGCCCCTTTCCACAGACTGAGAAACAGCCAGCTCTTCCCCAGGACGTAAGTATTGAACAAAGATTCAGCGACCAGGATGTCAACAACGGTGGTCTGTAAGAAGTAAGTAGAAAGCAGCATATACCGCCAGCATGTCTATTCAAAGAATAATCTGAAGTGGTGAAACTAATGATGCAAAAAAATTGTCTTAGTGAGAAAATTTAGCTATGGTATTATTTTCAAGTAGAAAAGTAGGTGAAAATACAGAAATATGAGAAATATATAGTATGGTCCTATTTTTGTTAAAAAATACATAAGTATTTCCATGCACATACATGTACATGTATAAACACAGTAATTCAAAAAAAATACCAATTTTTAAACAAAGTCGCTTTGGAGAGATTAGTTATTTTTTCCCTTTTTCTTCTATCTTTTTACCTCAGGAAATACATTTTACATTTTATTGAGCACTTCCTGTTTGAAGAGATCTTGAATAGACTTGTTTGCTAGTGTTTTAACTGTTTGATACCTGCTGAAGAATAGCTGCTGGCTCCCCTAATTAACTCAACCTTTTGCTCCCTCTTCTCCTTTGCCATCAGGAGTTCTCTCAGACAAATTAGACTCTAACTCTATTCAAACAAGCTCTGTTGTAGCAACAGCTGACATCCTGTCCATAATACTCAACAAGAAGGTGCCGGCATTTTTCTGTATTAGATCAGGGAGTTTGTTTGGGGGTGGGACTTTTTCCCTCTTTTTTTTTTTTAACTTGCTCTAAAAATACATCTATCCACAAAAATAGAGATGACGGAATACAAAAAACTCAGTCCTCATCCTTCCGTGGTCTGGGAATTGTACTCTGGAAATGCAATACAAAGGCTCTGTTTTCTGAAGCATCTGGCACATGCCAGAATTGTAAAGACCAGGGAGGAAGCGGGTGGCGCAGTCACGTGCCCACAGTCCTGTGTCGGGAGCCATAGCTCCACTGTGCAGCTGCCCAGATACAGGGGAACATGTTCGTTCCTGGATTTACTGTGTAACTTGAAGGCAGAGAATTCTAAAGAAAAAAATAAATGAGAATTTCTTCCAAGGGTATGTTAACACTACGGTAGCCAGCAAGTAAGACTTGAATGACACGCAAGTGACATCCTTGCCTCATTGTGAGGACAGGCTTCTGGGTTCATTACCAGGGGTCTGTGAGAAAATGCCCCGCTTCAGAGTCAGACAGACTCCAACATTCAAGACCTCAACCATGGAACGTAACAGCTGGGGGCTTTGACTAAGTCATTTGCATCAACCTGAGCCTCAATTTCTTATTGTCAAAATAGCAAAATACAAACCTGAAGAATTTTACTATGCTTAGTAATTCTATATGGGAAAAAAAGGGAGAAAATAAAATCTAGCTCTTAGACTAATTAAGTAAGTGTAACCAATAAAAACATTATTCATTCTAACACTGGTTATAATATAATCTTGTAGTTTGCCTGATTTTTCAAACTCTGGAAAGCCTGGAAAAACTTTAGAGCATAGTCTTCCAGGGACTGAGTAGGTGGTCTAGGTCAGAGCCTATTTCTTGCTAGTTCTTCTAACATCATGTCTCCCCCAACCTTTTAAATTAACTGTTATTGCAAACCCCCAACAGACCACTCACTGCAGGAGGAAGTAAAAGAAAAAGGAAAAAAATATTCTCTCTTCTGTACATATTTGCAGAACCTTGAGACTGAGGCTAAGTCTTAAATTATTCCTTTTACTATGTGTTAGTAGTCGAACAGGCTGCTTACTAAGAAGTCAAATCTTATTTTTGTTGTTAGCCTTCATCAATGCATTGATTTTTCTATGTCTAGGAGTTGGATCCACACACCCTACATAAACCATTACTGTCCCTCCCTCTAGGTACCTACCAACGCCATTTTAGTTACTTCTCTGGTAGCACCTTGTGTTTGTCTGGATGCTGTGAAAGGATCCTCTCTTGTGGTTGCCTGTTGAGGTTTTTGGTTATTATGAAAGTCTTGTGAAACTATGTTGATAGAGGTTGGCAAAAAAGAAAACTGAAACAGACTTAGGGGAAGTGAGGGGCCAAATATCTTTCTCATCTTTACATTTCCACTGAAAGCCTCAGTGAGGCTTGGCAATTGCAATGCTTGGGTTGGCCTGAAGTATTAGTATGGAAATTAGTGCTGGTATTGGAAGCCCTGTCTGCCAAGTGGCCAGTTCCTCATGAGTCTAGATTCTGTTTGCTCTTTGGGTGAACAGGCTATCCAAGTCTTTGTAGCAAAGTCATCACGTAGAGCTTTCCAAGTTTTCGATTTTTCATGTTAGAAATCTTTTTTTAAATGTTGGACATAGCCGATCACATTTATTTTTACAATTGTATTTTTTTATTATTGAAGTAACACTGGCTTACAACACTACATGATTTGGATGTTTAGGATCACATCTCTTCTGATGCATGTTCACTTTCTAAATCTTTAGCCATCACAGGGCAGGAACAAAAATTCCATTTCCAGTTTTTCAATTAAATCAGGTATATGCGTGATTATTTTCAGCATTAATATTAAGAAAGCTCGTTTTATTTTTCCAAAACCAGCCATAGCTACCACAGACAAATCATTCCAATCTAAGCCCATCTGCCGGCCTCCCTTCTTGGCTCCTGTCCGCCTTCCTTTTTTCCTGCCTTTCTCCGAGTTCCCGCCCTACTTTTCTTCCTTTCCATCCTTTCCTGACTCCTTCATTTAGGCAATTCATCAACAACCGCTCCACACTCAGAGACGGCGCTATCCCTAAGCCCTAAGACAAAACTATATGCACAATTAGCCTTCAATATACATTGTTTGGAACTCCCCAAACAATGGCAGAGGGTTAAGCACAGCGCTGTGAAGCTGTCCACAGCATCTGCAGCATGACTTCGATCCCGGCCAGGCTGGGAGATACCCACATGGCACAGCAGACCTCTCCTGTCTCCCCGCTGCTCCCCTCAGCAGTGTATTTCAGTCAATCTGCCTGCTCTGTTCCCCACTCTGTCTCTGGTGAGTTCTCCACCCCCCACACCTCTGGCCTATACCCTGGTTCTTGTATGCATAAAATAAATCAATCTTTAAAAAAATACATTGTTTGAATGAATTTGAATAGAGTCCCTTTACTGATACAACCAGTCATTCCTTAAGCTGGTGATGTGATGGATGAGAAGACCCAGCTACCTCTGCTTTCTTGGAGTGTATAACTGTGTGATGTTGAGAAGCTCTGAGCAGATAATTACGCATGCAGTTGAACTGTTGTGTGTTGAGAACAGAAGATGTTTCGAGAACATATAAGGGGAGACCTAATATTGTGCAAGAAGAAAGAGGGTGTAGGGGTAGGTAGCGGCAATTGTCTTTGAGTTTGTGACAATGAAGACTCTAGGCTCCTCATTGACCTCAACCCCAACTGCCTGCCTGAAATTCTTCCACTAGTGACTTATTTGTTGGGCTCACTTCTGTAAGTGTCACCTTATGTAGGCAACTCACAAGTGCTTATCATTCATTCATCAAAATCAATTTGTTTTCTCATACTCACTCTCTGCTAAATCACTGTCCTCAGATGCAGGTCACTATGCTCTGGCTTGTGATAATGTTGCCAATAGAGTTTGTAAAGTGCTCTCTGACCCTTGGAAGAAAGATACTGCAGAAAAGGGAATTGATTAGAAAATAATTGAATACACTGGGGTGTATCTGGCCTTCTGTTTAAATGGAATTGACTCACTAAGGGTCACGGATGCTCATTTGTTCAGAGAAGAAGGATACTGAGAGATAAGAATGAGAAGCGGAAGGGACATTTCCATCTGTCATGAAGTGTCAGGTGGAAAATAAAGGTCTGGCTTCCATTTTACAAGCAGAGCCAGCTTTCTGCATAAGCCAAGGGAATTGGGATTTAAGTATGTGGAAAGGCTCCTGGTGAATTTAAAAGAACTCTGCCCCTCCCCTTAGGCATCCCCCCTCCCGGCCCCTCCCACCTGGTAGATGACAATTCAGATGTTGAAAGCTCACAGAATCAGCCTGCTGCTTAAATACTAGGACACTGTGTTTTGAGAACGAAAGGAATCACATTGTCTACGGCTAAGGGATTCCACCCAACAACAAACCCGTTACCACCCACCGTCAGCTTTAGAGAACAAATAAGCAATGGACAGAGTCACAGGCTGGGGAAGTTCTGATAGTGGACAATGGCATGAGACTCAGTGTGCAAGCAAAAGGTCAAAGGAGGACACTAAGTCACCTCAGGATAGGAAATGTCGGGAGGGGTGGAAGCTAAAAGATAAACTCTGAATGTTGATGAAATCTGACAGGCTCTGAACGTACTGCCCACATTATGATAAAGCCCAGAAAAGCTAAGCAAGGATATTAGTCACTGATGAAGGTATTTCAGATGCAACAACTGGGGACATGGGATCATTTAGGACAGGAGGGCTTTAGTAAGTCCCTTCGGTCACTCACTCTATGTGTTTATTTCCACTTTTTAAAATACAGATTGTTCAGATACACATACCAATTAGATGTCAAGAGCCAGATTTGATGTGCAAGAAGTCTGTATCCACAGTCATGGCTCTCTGTGCTGTGGTGACAATATTGTTATTGGCATTGGAAGAAAACATCTGTTCTTACAATTTGGTGCTCAACTTTTCTTTTCCCTATACACTTGGCTTATGATTAAAGAATTCTTTCCTTGTGGGCTGAGGGACTACTTTATTAAAGAAATAATGCTATTACTTAGTTATATCATCTTGCGCCACCTAGTTAACCTTAATAAGCTTCCATTTCTTTTTTCTGTAACATGGGGGTAACGGTAGTATGAAGCATGAACATGAAAGTTCTTGTCAGGGTTGAGTCTAGTCCCTGCATAAAATGGGCGCCCAATAATGTCAGCCATTATGATCAGGCAGCTTTCCCAACCCATTCATTTGTTCATCTTGTCCTAGCTTCAAGCAGTTAACCACACATAGTACAACTTAGCGCACAGTTCAGCACATCATTTAAAATGTTTTAAGGATGCCAAATCTTGGCATTCTAACCTGCCACTAGATTTTAGGTTTGCTTTTTTTTCTTGCCTGTAAACCTCCCCAAAACACTGCCTCTTGTATTTGT